GAGTTAATTCGATTTAGCGCTGCTAAATTCGACATAACCTGCTAGTGTAGACCAGGCCTTAGCAGCTCAACTTTAAACAGCAGTTTTTTGATGCACAAAATCTGGATGAAAGGTTGGACTTTCCTTCTGAAATCACAATTTTGGGGTTCAATTTTCATGTTTCAATTCCCATGTTTCAATTCCCATTTCATATTTTCCGCACACTATCCAATTCTGTAACCATTACTTTCATTTAGCAGTGTCCCATTGGCTGCTCAACTACAACAGGACTTCATCAGAACCTTGGCTTTCATTTAAAACCAAGTAATTTTCTAGACCTTGTGGTTGTGGAGGGAAGCTTGAAAATATGAGCCGAGAGCACCCTAAAAGGTCAAAAGACAGAAGACAAATCTGACCCCCGCCCCCCCACACACATTTTTTTTCAATCTCATGATTTTAAGTCAAACTCGTGATTTTTGGGGTGGGGCTGTGCCTCGTGTTTTTGTTGTTTTGTTTTTTAACATGTAGGGTTTGCAAGACTGTTATTTTCAACTTTGCCTCCATCTCCTCTGCTTTGACACACATAGGCATCGTGACCTTCTTGTCTGAGAACAGGACTAGACGTCAAGAACACCTAAATATCAGTTCCTGTTTTGACAATGACCATGTTCTCCTGTGGCTTTGGAAAAGTCAGTTAATATTGTCACCTCAATAACTTCATCTGTAAAATTGTGATTAAATTTTCCACATAGCTTTCACAAGGAATAGTTAATGTTTGTATAACAGTCTGACAGTTAAAAGTGCTAGATAAGTGACTTAGTATACTGTATTTATTAAAATAAATGTATAAGCTTCTGTAAATTCCTCCTGCCTCTTTTCATTTTGTGTCTGCTGATTATTTCCTCTCACTGGATATACGGTAAGATTCTACAAATGTTAATACCAAAACTCTTTGTTGCTTAATTCTATTTTGGCTTTTTCTCCTCACAAGAAAAGCATTAGCCTCTCTCCTCTTAAAAACAATCACTTATCCTTGACCCCACTTGACTCCAACTACTGTCTCTTCCCTCTGTCATCCGAAAGCTGACGGAATGCACTGTCTACAATTACTTTCTGGAGTTCCTCTCCTCCAATTCCATCCTAGAACCTCTCCAGTCTGGCTTCCACTCTGTGTGCTACACTGACACCACACTTGCCAAAGTCTCTAATTACCTCCTCCTAGCTAAAGATCAGAACCAATACTCTACCCTTCTCCTTGACTTGTCAGCTGTCTTGTTGCAAGGCTGGGGCTTGGATTTCATGTTCCTCTCTGAGTTAATAGCAGGTGCAGGTGAACAAAAGATAGGCAGCACCAGTGCATTTAGGATGCCCAAAAGAAGCTTATAATTAAAGAGTACCTAGTGTTCCAGCTGCAACACCTGAAGTACCACTACTCGTTTGTGCACCCAGAATTGGAAATTACTGCATTCCCATATTAGAAAGAAGAGTTGGGGAGAGATCAAGAAAGGAATTGAGAGGAGAAAATGATCCCTTTACACCACCTAAGGCATCTTGCATATTCAACAATTGTCTGACTGATGAAACTCATTTTTAAGTACCTTCACCCTTGTGAGTCCATAAAAACAAACATATTTTCTCAAATCCTGTTTGGTTTGTAGCAGGGGAAGGAGTGATCCAGCTTTCCTGATTAGACACTGCATTTGATATAGTGTGTAGGCAAATGAGAACGAGATAGTAATGCATAGACACACATATGGAAGCAGTACAGTAGTTCAAACGAACTGTTAATAAGTAGGTTAATTAACTTATTCAGTTAATCTGTGGTCTATTTTTTAAAAATATAAATTTAAATGAATACTGTATCTCTTCCTAACTCTGTACACCTGATAATACCAATTGCAGAACTATTTTTCCTAAATTTAGTTCTGTGGTATAAATTACCCAAAACAATGTTTTAAAATGTGTTCACAATTTATAGCACAAATTAAACTTCGTAAAAATATTTCAAAATTAAGTGTTTTGACTGTGTTCATATTCTAAGTTTTTTGTTTCTGTTTTTTTGGTAACAGAAAAATTAAATGTTACAATGATCTGATTTGTCTGATAAAATGAAGGCCTGTGCATGATTAAGCAGCCTTCAGAAAGGAAACTAAAGCAAATTAGAAAAACATAAAGCAACAACTGCCCAAGTGCTATTCTTATTCTTGGTGGTCATTTGATACTAGGGTGTAGTATGGGGAGATTTGTATAGCCCTATCCAAAAATCTGTTCAGGCCTTACACCTTGGAAAGAGAGGCCAATTCCAAATGAATAAGATTAAGTAGAGGTCTCAGTTCAAGTATTCATTGCAGAATATGAAAGATTAGGAGGGTGCAAGGGGAAGGGAAAATTTATTAGATCATATTTGAAACTTGTTTAAACTATAGCAGAGTTACCATTTCATCTTTCTTTTGCAGAAAACATTACTGTCTGATCTGTAGTTGCAAGAAAAAAGGGGTGAAAAGAAAAAGGAAATCAGTCTTGGAGAAATTGGAAGTGCTTTGAATTTGCAAAGGGATTTAGTGCCAGCTGCTACAGAAGGTTTTACAAAGCCACCTTTGGCACCGAAATGGATGAAATGCTTCAGACCTAAATGGTAACCTTAATTCTTCCATCATTTTATTTCTCTGGTGTAGCCTCCTAAGATAACTTGTACAGATTGTAAAGGATTTTCTTCTTATACCAGTTAGGTTTAAATATAGTAATCTTACAACAGCTAAATTCTAGATAAATCTGTAATTTTACAACTTGCATGTATTACAATGAAGTTTGCAGTTTTAGCTTTTATAAAAGCTGATATTTTTTAAGTTTGTGGCTTATAAAAAACCCATATTGTTTTTGCCCTTTTTCTTCTTCCTTTGGGATAGGAAAATGAAGATAAAGGCTTGATCTTACCCCATAAGTAACTATGGCTTTCAACTAACTACATCTAATGAAACGACTGTACAGTAATAGCCACATGTGCATTTTTTTGTTCCTATTTCCATTTATTTCACAAATAACTTTTTAAGATTCTTTCAATAACACAATCCAAAGAACATGGTAACTGTGGCAAGGAATATGAACCCACTGTATTTTTCTCTCTCCACCTCCCGTTTTCCCCTATTTACCCAGTTTCCTGTTTTGTTGTCACTTTCTTTCCCTCTCTTTTCTTTCCCCAGTTTGAGCATTACCTCCTATGAAAATTCCTCCCTCCTGTTATCTTCTTTCCTTCTCATTCCTTTCCACTTGACTTCCTGTCTTTTTTTATCCTGTTCTTCCTGCTTTCACTCCTTGTCGGACTTGATGTATCTAAAATATTAACTATGATTACAACTGTCTCAAGGACTACTTTATATCAAACATATGTGCTGAACAACAATATAAAAACATAAGTTTGTCTCTTAAATGTTATTCCAATACAGATAAAATTCTTAATGTAGTTCTTTGGAGGAAGAAGAACTTGGCTGTTTGTGTTCATAAACAGCTCTCAAATATCTTCCAATCACTGCCCTTCTTCAGTCATATGAACAGACAAGTTGTACATTTCAGAAAATGTACAAAGAATATTTTCATTGTTCTATTAACATTGGGAGGATTATCTTTTGGCTTTCCTATTCCCATTAGTCATCCACAGGTATTAGCTTTTTTGTGAATCTTTAGTTATTTGTTGAGGTGTCCTAAAGTGTACAAAGCAAGATTGAAGTTGTAGTAGAGGGAGCCTGGAGAACTGGGCCTGGTGCAAGATCTGAGGCCTGAACCAGAGGCTGTGAACCAAAATCAGGCCATGTATTAAAGTAGATGCTTAGAATTTCACTATTTAGTACATGAACTTGGCAAAGTTGTTACTAGTGTACTAGGTACTATTTACATAAATATAATCTAGCTAGTACAGATACACCCCAATCTAGTACAAGATGAGATGGTTTGATGAAATAATGAATAGGGATATTTTGTTAAAGATATAAGCAACAAGGGGAGGTAACAAAAAGATGTCATGAAATACATAAGGTGGTGTGTAAGTTGTGTATGTTAGTTGTTTGTCTCAGCCTATAAATGTTGGGATACTTCGCCTTAATTCTTTGTTCAGCCAAGGGGGCAGTGGAAAATTCCACCACTGACTGAGCCGTTCCTTGCCACAGGGCAGTCATGTTAGCGTACCTGTAACCACAAAGCCAGGGCTCTAGGACTGTGTCTTGAGGGCAATAAACCTGGCCACGTGTCTTTGTTAATGAGCTGTGCCTGTGATCTTTCTTTGAGTAACATCGAAGGCTGCTGAACTAACATGCTGCTCTGTCTACTAATAACATTGAAGATTCAAGGACAGACACGCCTAAGCAGTGCTACTGAGGTGACAACATTTCAGCCTCCAGCACTTAATACTATCAAGGTCTGCTGAACCAGCTATCTGTGCAGCTTTGGGAAAGCACACGGAAAGAACCCACAAACACGCAAGGCAACTGACAATACAAGTACTTATAGAATTCACAGTATGGCAAATTCTGTCAGAAACTGCTGTCTACAGTTAATAAATATATAAGCACAGCATGAGAAATCTGATTATCTCACATCTTCTCTAACTCTTTTCAAAACTGGACTGACGCTACTAATTTCTTATACTGAACGCCACCAAACAGCTGTCATATTGTAATCTCTTTATCCCTGTCAAACTGAGTGAGATTTGAACCAGGAACCAAAAGGTGAAAAAGTCTTTCAGTTTTCCAAGCCAATGTAAAAAAGACAACCTCATCTTAGGTCTCTCAGATGATCTCTCTCCTCCTTGGAGCTTTTATTCAGTTCTCAAAGCCCTGTGCAGACCTTCTTTTGAACAGCTTAGTATTCTTCCCATTCCATATTGTCCTGAAGAGTGACTTTTTTTTTTTTTTAGTGGCAATAATCTCAACCCAAGATAGCTTTGCTTTCGTGCTCATACTTCTTTATTTTGGTCATTCACCGGGTTAAAGGCATCCATAATCTATGGCTTGTCTGTGATGGGGATTTTGCTGTGGATCAGTGTGGCTACACTGATATACAGGTGCACTATTTTACTATAAAAAGTGACTTGGACCAATTTACCCTGGTTTGAAAGGAAGATACGGGTGCTGTTAAATATTCATAGTGCAATAAATGCTTTTTATTTGCACAGGACCCTAGAAGTTAGAGAGTCCCTCCTTTTTCTGTTATATTTTTAAGGGGGAAAGGTTTTGATTTTGATAGAATAATTGGAGCCTGCATTTCTGAGTCTTACAAAGATAGTTGTGCTCCCATGCCTAGTCAGACACAGGTGCTCACTGCACTCATGCATCATTGGCTGAGTGAGTTGAAACCGCAGTGGGGGAGTTTTCAGGGTTGCCACTGTGCAGTCTCTTCATGCTTTCTCTGAATTTTGTAGTTTAAGGGCTTGTCTACAAGGTCCGCTAGTCTGCATTAGTGGAGTGTAAAGTCTAATGTGCACCAGCATGTCGTGCACTAACTAGCCCATGTAGATCCTGCTGGTGCACATTTAAAGTTCCCTAGTGCATGTTAATGTAGTACTTTTTGAAACATGACTACATTAATACTTACTGGGGAACTTTGAGTGCCAGCGGGGTTTATACTGGCCAGTTAGTGTACGACGAACTGGTGCTTATTAGAATGTTCACCCCACTGGTGTGGACTAATGTACTGCATAGACAAGCACAGAGGGTGGGATTTTGAAAAATCCTAGCATTAATTGTAATTGTTTCCATTGAAATTAATGGTAAAGCTCCCTTTGGTGTCAGAGAACAAGAGTTAGGCCAGCGCTGTGCACTTTGGAAAATTCCACAGTAAATTTCATGGCTTTGACCAAATGATGCATCAGCCCAACAGTTCACCGAGGCCTTTCCCTAACTTGTTTCCTCTGTTCGTTAAAAAAGTTCTCTAGTTCAAAACTTGTATGTATGTATTTGTTTATTTTGAAAAGTAGGAGAGCCTCTGGGAGTCCATGTGGCTGTGGCTGACTTTGAACTCCCTTCCAAAATTTGTACTTTTATATTTTGTCAAGTATCAGAGGGGTAGCCGTGTTAGTCTGAATCTGTAAAAAA